AAAAGCGGTGAAAATTTCGATACAAAAATGTATATTTATGTATTTTTTATTACGAATGTAACTAGGTTTTCACTAGCTAAAAATATGGTCATAAATTAAAACCAGTATAAGCACATATATATATATAAGCTTTTGTTTTAGTTATCATCGATACAAACTAAATATTTAAGAAAAAACTTGCGAAACTTTGAATCGGCCCAAGTATTTCTAAACTTAAGACGTCGGAGTTCTATCTGTAAATCATCTTATAATTAAAAGTATAAACTGATTTATTCAAAATGGAACATTGAGTTTAAAACTTACAAATATTGTGAGGTAATATTTAAACATCTGAAAAGGACAATACTGATTTTTTTTGTTGCTAAGGTTAGATACTGTATCGTACGAGTGTTTACGAATTCTGTTTGTCTTTGATAAAATTCTTACATATTTAAAAATAGTTTCAATGATAGAATTTAAAAATACAATTATTCGACATCTGTCAAAATTTAAGGCTTTTACATATATTTCTTAATAGTATAAATATATAGTGTGCTGTTGTTGGGCTTAGGATTCTTCTACAGAAGGTGTCTGTGACTTGTTAGCGATAAATGCAACGATGAATAAACAGCACGAACTTCACTTGTTTTCAAAATAATATATATATATTCAGAACAAGTTAACGTATGTACAATAAATTCTTCAACACTATAGATATTATAGACATATCATAAATACTATATAAGTAGTTCTCTCCTTCTTGTCAAATATCTACTTAGACTTTTTCAATTACCTTAGAATTTCAATTGACAAGCCGAACTATCTTCTCTATTTCTATCGCACTAGTATTCTATGTTATTCGCTTACAATTGTGGCGCAAGTTACTGTAATCGTTTGGTCTTCTTTCTTTTGAAGATCCTCTGTTCGTTTTGTCAAAGTGCACTCGGGCTGATTCAATTACCTTAGAACCACGCTTTGACAAAATAACATTATTTTTCTTATCTTCTTTTCTACTGTTAGTTTCACTCTAACATATTAAACGTTAGGCCTATGTCAATCGTTAGGCCTATCACATTTACAGTACTTAACTTCACACCAACTTTATTCTCTTTTGCTATTATCTGTCTGCATATATCTGTCTGCTGCTTCCCGCTCGTCTCACGCTATTTATATCTTTATCACTTAATCGTCTGTCCTCCTTCTGTATTCTCGACCTCAATGAATTATTAACAAAACTTCCTACAATCTTTTGCGTGAGCAACACAGCTCACATCTGTAAATTTACGCAGATGTGGAAAATTACTGCCAATTTCATCAACTTACTATCATGATATAAAAGACTGTTTGGTTCAGATACTATTGATTATTTTAGTTTTGTGAGTGATTGTTTAGTTTTTGTTATAATAAGAGTTAAAATGTGCCTTGTAAAGTAAAAAAGGGTGTTCTTATCAATTACTTGGAGGATTAATCAAGAGTGTAATTAATTAATCAATAAAGAGATTCATCAAGAAGTGAGATTTAAGATACAGCAATTTGCTATAACTGATTGTTTGTTTTACTTCTACTTATAGTTTCTTAAATTGGTTATTATAAGATCTTGAAGATATTTTCTTCTTTGACTTTCAGCATATGATTAAAATCAAGCGTTTGCCTAAATTATATATAAAAATGTTAATTCATTGGATGTAGGCAACTAACACATTCAGAGGAGACTTAGTTATCCAACAGATTTCAGTTTTCAAAATGTTTATTAAGTGGTTATAAAAGCAAGTAGTAAATACACATTTACAACAAAATTGTCACATTAATAATGAATGGAATTCTTGTATCAGATTGTGTGGTTTATTGTTGGTCATGGTCATAATGATATTATTACAAATATTCACTAGACTTCACATATTCCAGGCTTCACGAGTTCCAAAGCAATTCAAAAGTGCATTAATACAGAAAAGAATAAAATTCCTTATTGCTATGTAGTCAAGTATAACAAATAAGCCAATTTATTAACTTCAATTGGGAAACACTGGCCCTACAGTGAATATAAATGGTGATGTAGACATGTACTTGTAAATTTGTTTTTAATCTTGATTATTCAGCATTTAAATTGTGACAGAAATCATCTCATAAAATACAAATAGAAAATATATGTATGCCTATATATATATATATAAATATAAATGGGTTTTCATCATGTTTTAACCCTTACTTGACCAGTGAGCATATTTCAAGTTTTAAGTGC